CTGGCCCGCATTCTGAGTCCTCAAGAGGAAGAGGGTTGGACAAGAAGTGACAAGAAGTTCTCCCCTTCATCCTACCCTTTGACGATTTCTTGACTCAATCAGCAATGACTTCCTGACTGCTGAATCCATAGTCATTTCTGTCTGGCTGAGACACTTGTCCTCTTGTGTCTATGGTTCCCACACTGCTGGTTTCCTGCCACCCTCACACTTGTTCCTCTTGGTTAGCTTGGCATTAGAGTGGGAGGATCTCGTCTCTGTTGGGGAGCACTGTCTCCTCTTGCTGCTCTCTTACAGACCCCAGTCCCATTGCTCACGCCTAGCTCATGTTGACTCCCCAGGCTGTACCTGTTCCTTTCCCCTCAGTTCCATTCCCAGTCAAAATACCTGTGCACAATACCACATGGCACTGTACACACACTTACCATACCCACACAGAGCTAAGGGTTTCCCTGCCCGGATCGGCTTCTCACCCACCTTCTGCATCACAGTTAGTGATGCTCCTGTCCATAGTGGTTCAAGGCCCAAGTTCCTCCCGTCCCCTTGTTCCATCCCTTTCCTATCCAGTCCATTAGCTGGTCCTAAAAATGCTTCCTTTAAAATAGCTCCTGAAACCTATAATGCAGTACTGTGGAAGCTGAGGCAGGAAGATTGCTCCAAGTTAAAGTCAACATGGACTACACAATGAATTCGAGGCCAGCCTGGCAGACATAGTGAAACCTTGTCTTAAACAAAACAAAAGGTGCCTGGGCTACATATCAGGCACCTAGGCCACACAGAGACACTTCTATAAAACAAAACAAAACAAAATCTTAAAGCAAGCAGCTTTCTAATGGCTCCTCTCCAGTGCTACTCTGTCCCACCCCTCCATCTACACCAGAAATTAGTAGGGTTATTTTTTTTTTTTTTTTAGACAAGGTGTCTCTGTAGGACAGGCTGGGCTGAAACTCAGATGCTCCTGCCTCAAGTCACCTGGGTGCTGGGGTCGCAGGTGTGAGCCACCACCTCAGATGGAAAGGCTCTTTACAAGCTTACACCTTATCCTTCCTTTGTTTAAATACTTCTCTGGCTTTCCCTTTCATGCAGAATAAAATCTGAGCTCCTTTTGGAGGCCCCCTGCCTTCCCTGGCTGTGTCTGCACATCTGCCCCCTGCCCTCTGCACTGCTTGACTCTGCTCCTCGGGCCGCAGCCCCCTTCATCTCTCTCAGACTACAACCTAGGTGTCGCCCCCCACAGGCCTCCCCAGCCTCCAGGGAAAAGTGGCTTCCGCTGTTCTGCTCTCTCCCTTTTTTCTTAGCTCTGGGAGTTCTCGGCCAAGCACTTGTCACTGTTTTACTTTTGTGTGCTGCCACTGGCTTGCCTGCATTAGAGGGCTTCCTATCTCCCTCCTAAGGGCGTGGGCTGTCAGTAGAAGTGTGTTTTGACCATATTGCTCAGCTTTGGCTCCTGCCCAGCTGTATAGAGGATGCTGGTGTTCAGAGGACTTTGGGCCTGACAGAACTCTTTGCTGTTCCCTGGATACCGAGTGAGACTCCCTCTATATGTGATGAAGGGAAGTTCAGAGAGAATCAAAGCTTGCAGGTACAGTGAAGAGCCCACTTTAGTCATAAAACCATTCTTCTAACAAGAGGGAAAGAAGAGGAAAGGGAAAAGGGATGGAGAGATGGGGGGAGGTGGAAAGGGGAAGATGGGAGTGATGGCGGTGCAGAGGGCTGGGAAGGAGGGAGGTAAGAAGCCGTCCCAAAAAAGCATAAGGAACTCTGGCAACATCTGGCTAAAGTTTGCGCTAGACAATTTTAAAGTATTTTATTTGTTATTTTTATTTTATGTGTGCGAGTGTATTGCCTGTATGTATGTAAGTGCACTCATGTTTAGCAATGTCAGAAGTCAGAAGAGGGTATCGGATCCCCTGGAACTGGAGTTACAGGCAGTTGTTAGCCACCGTCATGCCTGGGTCCTCTGGGTCCAGTTAAGAGCAGTCAGTGTTCTTAACTGCTAAGCCATCTCTCCAGCTGCCCCCCTTTTAAAAATATTTTATTATTGACATTTTTAAATCATGGAACTTCTGAAAAAGAACTTTCAGAAACTTTGTCTGGGATGGGATCCATGGTATTAGTCACTTATAGAGTGCTTGCTTACTCAGCAGTTGTGTTGATGCCTTGTGCTCCATTCCCTAGCACCACAAAAAAACAAACAAGAAAAAGTAGTGCAAAATTGAGTTCGCATTCACTGACCTCATACCTCAGCATTACATAGATTGTAATGAGGAGTCACTTTCCCTAACTTCTTATTGCACCAAATTTTCCCCTGTAAGACCTGCGTGCAATCTCTGGGATCCCGGTCCTAATGCAGACCAGACCGACAAAACCGACATCATGTATGGGTTTTTGTGTAAAGTTTATAAAGTCTGAAAGAAAGTTACTTACAAAGGCATACACCTATGGGCTCTTTAGATCCACCGCCTCACCGGCGGTCAGTACAAGATAGCGACTTTTCTCAAGGTTCCTCAGCATTTCCCACCCTCCAGCTTTCTCAGCATCAGTCTCCAGACCCTCCCCCTCATGCAACCGAGTTGGTGGGCGGGGGCTGCCTTCCCCTCTGAGTCTCCTGGGGGTTCAGTGCTAGCTCCCTCGGAGGACACACCTACCCAACACATCCCCACTCCCACCCCCCATGAAAAGTGTCCTTTGCCCACATCCTCTCTCAGGCCAGCTAATCATGTCTGTTTCACCAGCTACTGTCTGTCCTGTGTCTACCAGAGGATGAAAGGCCTCTATGAGGCTGGGAGCGACAAGCCCCACTGGCCACTCTCCTTACACCACTACCCTGTTGTTCACTTGCTAAGGACTAACTTTCCAGGCTCTGAGGAAACAAGACAGCCAGGGCTTACCTGGTGCTTATTATGTGCTGGGGTACTGGTTCAAGTTTTTCCATAGATTAATTTTTTTTTTTGGTCTTTTATAAGACTGTCTCCCTGTAGCCCCAGCTGGTCTGAAACTTGCTATGTAGGCCAGGCTGGCCTTGAACTCGAGATCCGCCTGCCTTTGCCTCCCGAGTGCTGGGGTTAAAGGCATGCGCCATCACGACCAGCATAGTTTGAGTCTTTTATCTTCATTGCCAACCTTTGAGGTATTGTTCTTATTTTACAGACAAGGAAACTGACACTGAAGGGTTAAGCAACTCCCCAAGGCCACAGTGCTTGTCAATGATAGAGCCATGCTTCTGGAGGTGTCGAGAAGCCACCCTGTCATTCAAGCTGAACCTAGAGATGGGCCGAGGGGCTGAGGCCATGTGGACAGACAGGTCCATCTTCAATGGGAGTTTATGAAATCTCTTGTTCACCTGTTGACTTGGGTACGGACCGGCCTAGGAGATTTTAGGATTTATCCTGTGGTCTAGGAGCCACCTGCTTCCCCACTCCATCCACAGTTTCCTATTTCAGCTCCCTTCCCACTGGGACGGCAGGGCAGCACCTCACCTGTGTTCCTGAGCTGCTTCCAGAACACTGCCTTTGTTCCTTGGTGGACTTTCTCCACTTGACCATTTGACTCATGTGGAACAGTGTGTTCAGCTCATCGAGGGCTGAGCTCCCTGGTTTGGGATTAGGGCATTTCCATCAGATTCCCTTGTCACCAAGAAGATCACTACCCCTTTTGATAGGTTAGGAAACTGAGACCCAGAGAGGATGAATTTCCTTTTGAAGTGACATGGTTAATTAGTAGAAGATGCCTTTCTAGAAAGTATCAGTTTAGCCTGTGTGGTGGAAAATCCAGAATCTTTCCTCCTTCCCCTCCCTTCTTCCTCCTCCTCCTCTTCCTCTTCCTCCTCCTCGTCCTCCTCCTCCTCCTCCTCCTCCTCTTTTGAGAGTCTCAAGTAACCCACTGTAGCCTGGAACTCACTATATAGCTGAGTATGACCTTGAACTCTTGATCCTACTGCCTCCATCTCCTAAACGCTGGGATTATATCACCTTGCCCTGTTGAAAGCCCGATCCAAAACGGGCATGATGCCCCACACCTTTAATCCCAGCACTCAGAAGGCAGAGGCAGGTGGATCTCTATGAGTTTGAGGCCAGCCTGGTCTACATAGTGAATTCCAGGCCAACCAGGGCCACACAGTGAGAAAAAGAAAGAAAGCCCAGTCCAATGGAACTTCACTATAAGGAAACCCCTCCGCCACATCACCTGAGCTCTGTAGGAGAATAGACAGGTTAGGTAGTTAGATGATTGATGATAGATGGATGATGATAGATAGATGATAGATAGATAGATAGATAGATAGATAGATAGATAGATAGATAGATAGATGGATAGATGGATGAATGGATAGATAGATGATGATAGGTAGATGATAGATAGATGATAGATAGATGATGATAGGTAGATGATAGATAGAAGATAGATAGATAGATAGATAGAGTCACATTTTCCTCCTGTACCTCTAGACTTTTCCACTGTTCTTTCACATGCTGCTAGGGTATGAGTTGGAAAAACCTTGATGGAATATGTTTTTGGCAATGGCTGTCCAGATACAAGTAGACATCCTTTTCAACCTAGAAATTCCAGTTGATCCTCTGAGTACCTCGTAATCTTGGATATCTGGTATAACTTACTGCAGTCAGCATGGATTAGAAAAACAAGATTCAAAAACATCTAACTACCTATCAGTAAGGGGCTGGTTAAATGGGCTGTAGACATTTACAATGCTGCTTACTCCCACCCAACTTCTCACATAGAATTATCTCCAGGGCATATTGATAAGTGAAAATAAAACATGTAAGAGATTGTAGAGTGTGCTAGCCTTTGTTGAGTAGGGAAAGCACATATGAGTGCCCTGGAGTGTGTGTAGAATATCTGGATGCTGACAGAGGCCTGCAGGTACAGGTGGACACTGCACCACACCCCTTTTGTGCTTTGGAACACTGAAGTGCACAGATGCTTTTCATGTTCAAAAGTGAAGTAAACCAAGTATCCCCACCTACCCTTCCTTATACACTTTGCAGGCAGGCTGCAGTGCCACCAGGCTGCCCGGTGATGGACAGACAAGCACTGGAGATGCTGCCCTGCAGGAGCCTCCTTCATACCCTCCCGTTCAGGTCATCCGGGCCCGACTGTCTTCCAGCAGCTCTGAGGAGGTCTCCTCCATCAACTCTGACCTGGAGGTACAGGGCCTGCCTGGTGGGTGGGTGTGTCATTCACCAACACTTGCTGGGGCCTCCTTGAGCTTGAACTGCTTCTATCTAACCCTGCCTTGTTAACCTCGCACCTGCTAATCATGAATGAGGTTCCCACAGTCTGTAAAGGAGCCTCTCAACTGGGAACAAACTGAATGAAGTACTTCCATGGTCACGTGGGTCAGGGGAACACTGACTATTGGGGTCCAGTTTCTGTAGATTAGTTACACGTTCAAGTCCTAGAGAAATAAATGCATGGGTAATAAATGTTATACAGCCCTCAATGTTAAAGCTGGGATTGATGGCTGAGGAGACTGAGGTAGGAGTGTGATGAGTTCAAAGCTGGCCTGGACCCTGTCAGAAAGGTGGGGGCAGGGGGAGGAGAAGGGATGGATGGAAGGAAGAAAAGGTTCAATGTTTTCCAACCCATTTGACCGTAGAAGAGTTTCTTCACGCCAAAGAACAGGAATCTCTGGTGCTGGTGTTAACCTATGCAGGCAGGACCCATGGAAGGAGCCATGCCCAGAACTTTTATACTCTTCCTCGTTTTGTATCTGAACAGAATGCATGTCACAGTTAGGATCCACAAACAGGTGTAGCTCTCAGGTCTGTCCTGTCTCTCTGAGCCCCATATCTGTGGTTCCCAGCCCCATTCGTTGAGGGATAGAAGAGAGCAAGGACAATGTAGAGGTGACCTGTATGTTGGTGAAGGGTGCCCCATGCCTTTTTTGGTGGAGGAAGGACTGTCTGAGTTTGTGTCTTTCTAGCCTTTTGAGTGACTAAATGCTCTTATGAAGTGATAGTGGTAATTGATGTTGAGTTTTAGTTGGGGTTTGGTTTCATTTTTAGTGGCTTTATTTGGCAAAATAATTGTTATCCTTCCTGAGTCTGAAAGTTTGTCAGACTTATACTAGACCCTGAAATCCAAAACGCAGAGCTTCTGAGTGTGGGATAAAGTCCAGATTCTGTAGTGTGATACTCCAGACGTTTCCCAGCCTTCCCAACTTCATGCTGTCCCCTGCACTTCCCTAGCACTTCCCTGATCATGGACACTTCTCTGACAACAGGTCTCTGGACCTTTCTTCCTGGGGTTCCTTTTGACCCCATTTTCGTGGGTCAGAATCTTACCCAGAGTCCTTCTTGCGTGATGCTCATCTTAGAACTAGTTGCTTCTTCCCCTAGTGTCACTTTCTTGCTCACCCTCCACAAGTGGCCATAGCTGGGTGATTGTGGGGAGTGTCACCCTGGTCTTCCTTTATCCTTCACCAGCTGGTGGTTGAGAGCCAAGCTGGAGTTAAAAGAATTACACACCTGTTGGGCGGTATTCCTGGATCCAGTCTGAGAATGTGTACAATACGGAGCAGCCAGGAGCCAGCTGTCTCTGTTGAGGCTGTGGCTACAGGGACTGCAGGGTGAGCCCAGGGAGGAGCAGAGACAGGAAGTTCATCAGGGAGGAGTGGGGGAACAACATTATTCTGTGGAAACAGAGCAGCTTGGGAAACATAGCAAGACCTTACCTCAAATAGTTGGATGGATGGATGGATGGATGGATGATAGAGATAGATAGATGACAATAGAGAGATAGATGATGGATGGATGGATGGATGGATGGATGGATGGTTGGATGGATGGATGGATGATAGAGATAGATAGATGACGATAGAGAGATAGATGATAGATGATAGATAGATGATACATACATACATACATACATACATAGATGATAGATGATAGATAAAACACATGTTTTGGAAAACATAAAGAAGTAAAGAAGAAAATTAAAATCAAGTCGCAGGCCTACTAACCAGTGGTCACCTCCATAGTGTGGTTGGTCATGTTGGTCATGCTTGGCATGTTTCCCTGGCTCTTAGAGCCATATTCCACAAGGATCTTGTTTTGCAACCAGTGGTCACCTCCATAGTGTGGTTGGTCATGTTGGTCATGCTTGGCATTCCCTGGCTCTTAGAGCCATATTCCATAAGGATCTTGTTTTGTTTGTGGCTGAATGGGAGCAGGAAGGTGTCTTTCAGCAGATTGGTGTGTATTAGTCAACTTTTCTGTTGCTGTGATAGAAACACTGACCCGAGCAACTTATAGAAAAAAGAGTTTATTCGAGCTTATGGTTCCAGGGGAATTACAGTCCGTCTTGGTGGGGAGGCATGGCGACAGAGGTGGCTGGAGAGGAGAAGCAGAAGCTAAGCTCTCACATTGTCACATAGGCACAGGAAGTAAGAGCATGACTGGTGATCTAGCAAGGTTTAAGAACTCTCTAAGCCCACCTCCAGTGACGTGCTTCCTCCAGGATAGCCACACCTTCTAAAACCTCCCAAAACAGCGCCACCATCTGGAGACAGAATGTCCAAATATTTGGAGCCTATGGGGGACATTATCATTCAAACAAGCCATCACATTCCACCCCCTGGCCCTCATAGGCTCATGATCATATAAAATGCAAAATGCATTTAGTCCAACTTTAAAAGTCCCCATAGTCTTTATCAGTCTCAATACTATTTAAAAGTCCACAGTCCAGTCTTTTCTGAGACTCATGTAAATATCTTAACTATAAGCCTTTATAAAATCAAAAGACAAATTTTATACTCCCAACATACAGTGGAACCGAATACACGTTACCATTCCAAAAGGGAGGAATGGAGGCATAGTAAGGAAATACCGGACCAAAACAAGACAGAAAACCAGCAGAACAAACACCAAATCCAGTAGCTCCATGTCCAACTTTTGGGACTTTACTTCCAAAGGGCTTAGATGGCTCCACCTCTCTAGCTTTGCTGCGTGCAACACACATCTCTCTCTTCTGCTGGTACCAATTCCTGTATGCAGGTCTTCTTGGCAGATGCCTCACAGCTTTTTCACAGCTCACAGCTTCACACAATGGCCTATCAGGGCCTTCTCTAGGTAGGGGAACCCCTGATGCATGCTGCCTGGCCTCAGCGGCTCTCTGGCTCTCTGAAACTGCGGAGGAAGAACTGATGACCCTTCACTCTTCCATCTTTCATGCCTCTAAAGGTGAACAACACTGCCAAGTTTGACTGCAAGTTTGGGGTGGACTCCAGCCTGCTTTATCCATTTTAGAAGCTTTCCTCTTCAGTGGTCCCCATAGCATTTTCCTTTCACAAGTTGGAGGCTTAACTGGGTGTGGTCTTGCCCTGGAGGCACTCTCTCCATTGTTTAAGTTTGGCTCTCTAGGCCCCTCCTTAATCACTTTAATATCCTTAATCACTTTAATCTCCTTATCAATGGGATCTTCTCCATCACACGCCAGGGCTACAACATTTATCTTCCTAGAGCTCTTTTTCATTTCAAACTGTATTTCTTTCTGCCCTATTTGCTCTCCTTCACTGTAGATCTGCATAATATTCACCATTAATAGCCATGCCACTGTTTCTACATTAGGCTGTCTTGAAATTTCTTCCACCAAAGAAATTAGTCCATTACTTTTCAACTTAGCCTCAGGCAAGCTTTTTGGTCTAGGGCAGACTCCAGCCAGACTCTTTGCCAAAATATCCCAAGTGCTGTTTAAGTCCTTATTTCCCTCTGGAACTACATTGTTCTCAGCACTACTTTCTTCCAGGCCCCTACTAGAATGGCCTGTTAAGTTCTGCTTCCAGCAATCAACCCCTTTTCTAGCCCAACCTTCCAAAGTCTTCCACATTTCTTCAAACCCCACATGGTCGGGTTCTTCACAGCCAACAGCCCACTCTCTGGTACCAATTACTGTATTAGTCACTTTTCTGTTGCTGTGATAGAAACACTGACCCGAGCAACTTATAGAAAGAAGAGTTTATTTGAGCTTATGGTTCCAGGGGAATTACAGGGTGTAACAGTAGACTTCACCTAGCCACCTGGTCAGTCATTCAACAGATGTTTTCTGAGGGTGGACATTTGAATGAAAAATACATGAGGACAAAAGGACAGGCCTGAGTCTGCCCACAGACTGATGGGTACAGTACTTCCTGGCCACAGTGAATCAGATTGCCTGTCACATGCCTTCAGAGCACCCGCCTGAAAAACAGAAGCATGGGGTTCAGCATCAGCCCTCAGAGATCATCACTTCCTGTGTTTTGTGACCTTCTCACTCTCAAGACCACATAATTCACATATGTCACAGCATTCAACTCAGATAGCCAGGGCATCTCTCCACTCTTGGGCTACCAGCCCTTGCCCCCTTGCTCCTCTGCTCTGGATGCTGCTGAGGTGGGCTTCCACCCCTCCCCCACATGCTCTGAACCTGTTCCTGACCACTTGGGCTTCTGCTTGACCCTTTGGAGGGATGGGCATATGCTTCCAGACTCCCACTATCCAGGCCTGAGAGTCATAGACCTTTTTATCATTTCCTAACCATGTTCTTAGGCCCTGTTCTAATTTACTTTCTGTTGCTGTGGTAAATACTACGATCAAAAACAACTCAGGGAGAAAAGGGCATGTTTAGCTTACACTTCCAGATCACAGTTTAACATTGAAGGAAGTCAGAGCAGGAACTCAAGGCAGGGACTGAAGCAGAGACCACTGAAGAATGCTGCTTACTGGCTTGCTCTACCTGGCTTGCTCAGTTACCTTGTTTATACAAGGCCCACCTGCTAGAAATGGCACTACCCATAGTGAGCTGGGCCATCTTACATCAATTAGCAATCAAGAAAAAGCCTCACAGACACAACCACAGACTAATCCGATGGAGGAAATTCCTCAATTGAGGTTTCCTCTTCTCAGGTGACTCTAGTTTATGTAAAGTTGACAAAAAGTAGCCAGCCCAGTATGTGTCAACTTTTGTGAACACTTCCCATGGGGCACTTGGGGAGGTGAAGAAATGAGGGCTGCCTCAATCACATATTGTAGCAGTACTCTGGCTCACCAAGCATTTCTAAATCCATTCATCAGAATTACAGAGTGTACTACTGACTGTGACTGTGTGCATGTCCCATGTAAGGCACTGGCAAGGTCTAGTAAATAATTCACAGATACTATTTATCTTA